TCCTCGTCCAACCCTTCCTTCGCCTTTCTTCCCTTCGAGCGTGGAATTACTCCCGATATTTCAGACGACGTCGACGCGATCGGAGCACCGCGCGGCAGGCTGCATTATGCAAAAAAATATGCGCCCGTTGAATGAATATAAATATGTATTCCTGTCTCGTACCTACCTCTCGCCCCTTTGTCCTTTACCCTCCGCCCGGTAAGCTTCGCGACAGCGCTCATACATAATTTATCGTCCGAAGAATCTGCGCGTTTCTCACCGATAAAACGGTTGCCGGTAATCGGAACATACGTCGTTATCGCTATTGACACAGCGAGAGCAGCTTGCGCGAATGCTTCCAAATTCGACAGTCTTACTCGAAGCCTTCTTTCCTCTTATCTATGTAGAACACAGCTTTGCGCTTCGAATCCTGATCGAGCTCTGATTATTTTTGAGAGTTGAGACATATATCTCTGTTTGATTATTTTTAGAAGTTCGTGGGATTGCTGAGAATGTAAAAATGGAAGTAAGATATAAAAATTCTAATATGACAGGTGTCATGTCAGAAGTAAAATATTACCATAAATTCTAAAGTTGTTTATAATTGAATTTTTTAGAATTACCGAATACGAAGATATCAAAGTATGAAAATAAAAAATGACGTGGCGGATATGGCGAATGCAAGAATTAAGATATCAAATTTTAATGAAATTTTTATATATGGTGAAATGTAACATAACATTTTATTTTTCATGGAATTTTTAAAAATATATCCCAATACATAATCTTACATCATATTCTACACAAATGACTTTAGTTTTCTTTTCTCGATATCTTTGAAATTATGAGCTAAAGGGCTCAAATAAAATTACGCTTTTTACACATGTATCATGAAAAATTTATATTGTCAGTTATATTAGAGTAATAATTATTCGTATAGAAAGAACAATTTTGTTAAAGCATCTAAAAAAGTGGTCAGATCTGAAAATAATTATATAGGTTGCTTAAGCATGATGATAATATTTAAAAATTTTTTAATATTTTAG